AAAAGGGTTATTCCATTTGGATTACATACCAGCACTGTCAGAGAGTGTGTATCTTTTTCTTCATCTTTAAATCATATTTTTAAAAATAAAAATTGCCTTTTAATAAAATGGAGTACTTTAATGAAAATACATTACAAACCATTGGAAAATGAAGTTAAAAACAGAAACTATTTGTTATACAGTATTGACATCCAAAGATAAAAATATTTAAAGGCCTAATTTAAATATACATACAAATTAATTCACTAGTGAGTGCTTGAATCAGTTTCAAAATTTGTCAAATGAAATGGAATAGGAAAAAAACAGACTAGAAAAGATCAGAAGTATCAATGGAGTATAGTCAATACTGTTTTGTAAAAAAGTTTCCTATATGCCAGGGATTTAGCTCAGTGGTTCTGCAACCTGCCTCGCAAGCACAAGGAACCGAGTTCAATCCCCAGTACCAAAAAAAAAAAAAAAGTGTCCTGTAGATAGAAATATGAGTGAGTGAACATATACATATATATATTTTAATTTATTACTTGAAATTTAATTTTAAATTTCAGTCAAAAGAGTATTTTAGTGATCTCTTCTCTATAGAACCTCAATTCTCTGCTCTCATTGGTGATAAAACTCTGTGAAAGAGTTGTTTGTACTTGATATTTCCAATTTTACTTTTATCTTGTTTCACTACTCCAGGCAGGATTTTGCCTCCACTACTTTATGCAAACTTCTCTTAATGAGTTTAACAATGACCTCTAGATGGCTACACCCAAAGACCCCTGTCCATTTCTCAACTTACTTGACCATTGACAGAATTTGATAAAGTCAATCACTCTTTCCTCTTTTACCAGACTCTCAGGACATTTGTTTTATTTTGTATCACATTTCTACTATTTCTCAATCATTCTGTATTTCTCCTAGTTTCCTGAAATCCATAGAGTTGAGGCCCTTGGTAGTCTCAGGCTTCACTACTTAATATATACTTGATTCACACATATATCTCCAACCCTCTCAGCCTTCATTTATGAGTATGTAACTCAAATATCAGCTACTTTGCATTGTATTAGATCTTTTCTAATCTAAAGAAGTGCAAAATTAAACTTCTGGAATTCTTTACCCCAACATCTTCCTGCAGTATTCTGTCTCAGAAAATGGCAACTCAGTCATCCCAGCTGGCTGTGCTTGACTCCTCTCTTTCATGCTCTGTTTTTTAAACTTAATTTTATTAATTCATTTCAGGTATACATAATGACCACATTCATCATAGGAAATTTGTATGTGTACATGGTATAACTTGACTCTTATTTTTTCCCACTCCTCTATTGTCCTTTAACCCTTTTCCCCTCTGTATTTACAAAAGTTTTGTTTCCATTTTCTCCTTTTCTCATTTTTCCCTTTCCCTTCTTTCCTTTTCAGTCTGTAAGGAAATCATGTTAGTTCCACTGTCAAACGATATCTAGAATTGGACCACATTTCCTCATGTCCATTGCTACCATACCGATGATTCAAGACAGAGTCATCTCTCATGAGTAGGACTGGAACAGCTCCCTAGGGGTTCCAGCTTTCACTTTGGGTGTCCTGTTTGTTTTCTCAATACAGAGAAGAGTCTGCTAAACCCGTGATACCATCTCTTCTCTGCTCCAAACTCTCCAATTCTTCAATTTTCAGAGTAAATTTAAAAATCTAAATCTTGCAATGGTCTTCCAGGTTCTACTTTTTATTGCCTTAAAGTCATCTTCTAGTTTTCCATTACCTATTGACAGCCCATTTCAGCCACAGTGGATTCCATGATTCCTTAAACAGGCCAAATGCATGCCACTGAGGACATTTTTGCTAGCTTTCACTGCTGCCTGATTATGTATTTACATGGTTATCCTTTAGTCACTCCAACTCTTTTTTTTAAATGTGACCTTCTAAATGAGGTTCAACCTACTTAAAATTATGATACCCCATCTCACTCGGAATTATCAGATCCTCTTTGTTTCTATTTCCTACAGAACACACACTTTCATGTCACTCTTTTTGCTTAATTTTAATGTGAATCTTTGAAAAAATATTCTCTAAAGTGTCAGCTATGTAAAAGCAGAGAATATTTTATCAGTTATATTTTAAACACCTGAAATAGTACCTGGCATACATGCTGTCATTAAAATAGAAGGGGAATGTTTATTTTTTAATGAATCATATTAAAAGACACATTGCCATTGATGCCACCCAGAAAAACCTGTCCCCTTACTTCAAACACACTCAGCCTATTCTTGACATCTTCTGAAGCACTTCTGGAAGTCCTCTCTCCTGAGTGTCTTTACAAGACGTGATCAAACACATGGTGAATGTCCCTGCCAGTCCCATCATGAAAACTTCACGGTGCGTCTACACCCACCGTATTCACTAAATTTGTGACCCTGAAACTTCTGGATCTTCCTCAAAGTCAAAATGACTGTGAAAGGTGAACATTTTGAGTAGCCACAATGGCAGAACTAGAGACACTCATGAAAGACTTCCAGAACTGCTTTAGAAAGTGGCAAGGACGATGGGAGAAGAACGTGTGAAGCAACAGGGGGATGAACAGCATTGTGTCTTTTACTAAAATCATGTTTTTAAAATTTAAACTCACTATTTTTTTTCAATCATACTCCATAGCAACCTCTGTAAATACTTGCTTCAGGAATAAAAATATGGATCACATACTTATTTCCTTACCAGTTTGCATCTCTTAAACAGCATAATTTTAAAGCTAATCACAGAAATATTTAAGAGAAAAATTGTAAGTTACATTTTAAAATAATACTCTACAGATACTTAGCACTACATGTACTTGCATTATGCAAGATAATTTGTCTTATTGGAATAGCAGGTGTACTTTGTAATTCTAATTTTATTTTTGGAATTGAATGTTTAATTTTAATCAACCTTATTGAGATAAAATTTAATTTAAAATTTTCTACATTTAACCAAAATTATTAGGTTTGCTTCCTGAAGTTGAAATCTTAATACATTAATCATAGTATTAAAACATTTAATAAGATTTAAAATCAGCCATTTTACAATTTTCTTTTTAGACTACAAAGGCTTTAAAGGAAGGCTGTGGAAGCTTTATTCAATCAGAAAATTGAGTTACTTAAATGCAAAGTAGTGTAGGAATATATTATATTTAAAGACTTTTAGCTGGTGAGTTTGCAAATCAGGCCAAATATATCTCAAATGCCCTTACGAATGAATAAGAAATGTATTATATTTATAAATAAAAAATTAAAGTTTTTACCCTTCATATTCTATATACTTTTCTTCATGCACAAATGTTCCTTACTGGCACAAAAGCGAGGGAAGGTAACGGAAGGTAAAGAGTAGAGTTGGTCCCTAATGCCAGAGAGGGTCTTTTGTGACTTCCCACTCCCCAGTGGATCCCAGATTATCCACCCGCTGGGCTTTTGCAGCCTGAGGCTTACTATCGCTAAGTGTCACTGATATTTCCATCTCCAGCACCACTCCCTCCTTTCCGCACTTCTGGCTGGCTGCCCTCTCTTTGTGTTCCCTGTGACAATGGCTTTGCAGCCTTGTTTGGCTACACAGAAACTGGGCCAAAATTATTTTCAGGAGAAAATTTACTCAGCTTCTAAAACTGGTACTATAGTCTTTTGAAATAAAGTCAGAGACGTCTATCCTAAAATATAATGTGTGTGAACTTTTTAATGGGTGAATATAAGTTCCAGAGCAGAGAAACATTCTAAATTCAAACAACAAAAAGAATAGATTTTGAGGGTTGAAACTAACTTTTTAACATAAAAGGGAACAGACACATTTTAATAGTACTTATAATTTCATAAATACCAAAATGTAATTTTGTGTCATTTGCATATGTGTACGTTTTGGTTCCAAGAGATACATTTAATCTATCTTGTCCTCAAGTGCCCAAGAATGTTTGTTTTGAATCTTTGAGACAATGTGAACATTAACCCACAAAGGGCTTGATAATAACATCATGATGCAAACATCACAAAGTCAGTGACTACTTGTGCCACACAACAATTGCAGTAATCCGAAGACAATTTATAGAGGGCTAAAGGTCTCTCAGGTGAAAATAAGGGAATTAGACTTCTTTCCTAAGCTAAATTACCTAATTTCTCTGCATCTCATTAAGCTTAAAAAAAAAACCAAACTATATAAGTTATACAGAGAATTTTGTACATAATCTAAAAAACCTACAAAATGTTAGGAAAATGTGAAATAACTTCTTCTGTCTCTTAACAGCACTCTGCTTTGTTTAGTTCAAAATTAATAGACCCTGGAGGCACTGACCATGAAGTGGGACATCTGGCCTCATCCCTGACCTTGAACACCCCCTTCCTGTGCACTAGAATAGACAGCAAGAGGAATCTTAAGGTAAACTCCCCAACTGCAAAGCATTGTCATGTCTGAGTTAAAGTGAACTGTCTGGGTACTGTAATTTGCACATGCCTGATGTGAACTGAGGAAGTGAAATGTAACCACCTGGATGAGATCATGGCTGTAAAACCTATAGAAGGGAAGCTGCAGCCCAATAGGAGGTCAGTCACTGGCACTGCCTTTTTGAATGTGACGGACCTTTGCCTGGAAAAATAAACTTTTTAAATTTTACTTCCATTTAGCTTGTCTCTCTGTGCATGTCACTTGCCAATTCCTTCCACAACATAAGGATAATGTGAATATAAGACAAAAGTGTGTACAAAGGAAATATCTAAATTTTCAAATTATAAATATCTTTATCCCTTAGGTCACAATCTTTGCTCAACTAGAAGATGATTCCGCAGTATTTGGGGGTGCAAAGTGGAGAATACATGAATGATGTGAGGATAGGTACATATACAGCAGGTTCCTCGATAAGATAGGCAATAGTTCTTAACCTGGAAAATTGCAAAGAACATACAGTCAGCAACATGAAAACAAAGTGCACACAGTAATTTTAAAAACTAATTTGAAAAGATTTTTAAATTATAGAGACAATGACAATTCTTTGAACAAATATTGGCGAACACCCATTAACTCCCAGAGGCATTGAACATCTTTTGAGGATAGAAAATCTTCTTGATGGCGTTTTTCATGTCTTTGTTCCTCAGACTGTAGATTACTGGGTTGAAAAGTGGGGCAAGGACAGCAAACATCAGTGCAGTGGCCTTGTCCAGCAAAGGTGGAAATGTGACGGAGAAGTGCAGGTACATGAGTGCCACACTCCCAAAAAACAGCAGGAAAATGGTGATGTGGGCCGCACACGTGGAGAACGCCTTCTGACGGCTCTCACCGGAGGGGATCCTCAGAATCACCGTGATGATCCTCAGGTAGGAAAGGCTGATGATAGACACGGAGGCCAGGATGGAGACTGCGTGGATCACATCTTCCACCAGAATCATGGAGGTGTCTGTGCAGGTTAAGCGCAGCACAGGTTCAAAGTCACAGAAGAGCTGATGGATTTGGTTGGGGCCACAGAAGGGAAGAGTGGAGATCCATATGATCTCGGGCAGTAATATAAGGAAGCCAAAAATGCAAGAGCCAGTGGACAGCTGGACGCACAGTCGAGGAGTCATGATGATGGCGTAGCGAAGAGGATTGCAGATGGCAACATATCTGTCGATGGCCATCACTGTGAGGACCAGGCCTTCCGTGACTCCGAGCGAGTGGAAAAAATACATCTGCAGGAGGCAGCCGATGAAAGAGATGCTCTTGTGTTCACTGAGCAGGTTGGAGAGCATCTTGGGGATGGTCACTGTAGTGTACCAGATCTCCAGGAAAGAGAAGACGCTGATGAAATTGTACATGGGGTTATGGAGACGAGCGTCCAAACGGACAGCAAAAAAGATCAAGAGATTTCCAACAATAATGAATATGTAAATAAAGAGCAGAGGAATGAAGAGTAAGAGGCTGTTGTTCTCCAACTGAGGGAAGTCAGAGAAATAAAATTCAGTCACAATTGTCCAGTTTACCTGATCCATATTTTCAGCAGCTTCAAGGATTGAACAATGAGATAAAATAGTCATAATTCTCACTGCATTCCTAGAGCAAGCAGAAATTTCCTTTTCACAAACTACCCTGCAATTAATTTAAACAAAATATACAATGTGAGTTATTCTCCAAATTATAAAGTCACCCTGCCCAATTTGCAAATATTTTTAGTAAATATACTTTATCTCGTAAACTATTCTGGTGTCCAGGCAAAGAGTTTGCTATTTAGATATAAATTGGTACTAACTCCCCCGACAAGGCAATTTGGCAGTTTTTATTCAGAACCTTCAAATGGTTTAACAACCTGCCATAAAGGAAACTATTTTACATATGCAAATTATGTACAAAGATATTCATGGGAATATTCACTATAATAGTAAATTAGAAACAATTTAAATAAATAGGGCCGGAGATTAGCTCAGTGGTTCCACCGCCTGCTTCGCAAGCACAAGTACCCGAGTTCTATCTCTGGTACAAAAAAAAAAAATGTTTAGGGCTGGGGATTTAGCTCAGCAGTTTGGTGGCCTGCCTTGTAAGCACAAGGACCTGAGTTCAATCCCCGGTACCAAAAAAAACAAAAGACAAAAAACAATTTAAATAAGTAGACGTTTTTATTTTTTGAAGTGAAACATTGAGGACACAAAATAGTGACGAAATGAATTCTCTCTGTGTTAAGCATTAGACCATTGTAAAGTGAACGTCTTAAAAACTGTGTGCAGTTACCATTCTCCTTGTTATTATTATTAAAAACTGACTGAAAAGAAAAAGCCAAATATTATACTGATTATAGTTTACTGTAAAACACATCAGCCTAGACCATGAGCTCTATCTGTGTATGCAGAGTGGTGTGATCTGCTCTATAGAAAGAGTTAGTTCACAGCTGAAGTGCACTAATGTGGAGATCACATCTAAGGAGTAGTTTGGTGTCACTGAAAGACTATAATCAGCAGTCCACATCTTAAGGTAGGCTTGGCAAGTACTTCAGATATCTTTGTCTATAGCCACTGTACAGAGTTCAGCAGTTGCACAAAGCAGGTTTTCTGTAGTTGATCACTGCTGACATTTTAGACAAGATGGTTTTTCACTGTGGGAGGAAGAGAAGCTGTTAGGGTATTGTCTGATGTTTAGCAACAGCCCTGGTTTCAACCAACTGGAGTTAGCTAGCTCAGCCCTCTCCCCTAATTAGAGCAACCAAAATGGCTCTAGAAATTGGTAAATGTCTCTACATGGACAAAAAGAAAGCACCAACTGAGAACCCCTGGGAATGAAGAAAGAAAAAGAAAGAAAGAAAGAAAGAAAGAAAGAAAGAAAGAAAGAAAGAAAGAAAGAAAGAAAGAAAGAAACGAAAAGAAAGAAAGATTAAGATCATCTGATATCACTAGAAAGTTACCTCTCTTAGGTGTGAGACCTCTAATACATTTGCAGAACTTTTCACTCATTTTACCAGTGAGAAAGCCTAAAGAAGAGCTCAGAATTCCATAAGCTTCTAAAAGTAGACTTGAGGGGCTGGTGGTACAGCTCAGTGGAGCTGCACCTGCCTGACAAGCACAGGTTCCTGAGTTTGATTCCCAGTCCTGCAATAAATACAGAGATTTAATAGTAGTTAGTTGGTATAAGGCCAACTAAGATACAGGAGAATATTAAATCTCTTTTGAAACAAGAGGAATATGAGGGACAAATACAGGATCTTTAAGAAAACTACTTTTAAAACTATTTTCCAATGATCATGAAAAAAATAACTTATACTCTGATTATATCCTGTTTTAATTCTTACCTGGACTCATTGTTTGCAAAGGTATCATTTTCTACTTGAGTCTAACACAGATACTCCTGTAATACTTTTAAAATACAAAGCTCTTAATTCCTTTGCTAAAAACCTCATACAGATAGGGTTCTCTAAAAGCTTAGAGTCAAATCTGAACTTGTAAGCATGACAAATTATTATATTTACGTTATGTTTTAAAATCATTTTGTCATCTACTTATCTTTTGAGTTTATTATCCCTAATGTGTTTTGCTGCTATGACAGAAAATAACACCCTTATAATAGGTGTATTTCCCTTTTTCAGAGGCACTAAAAAAAAAATAAACACTGAAATGAGCACTGTTCTTGATGGCTAGTACACACTGAAATTGGAAAATAGAAACTTAGAAAAAGGAAAATTTGGCATGATTTTAGAGATTTGGATTTTTTAAAATAAAGAAAGATGGCTGGGCATTTAGCTTAGTGGTCCTGCTGCCTGCCTTGCAAGCACAAGGGCCTGAGTTAGATCCCTGGTACAAAAACCAAACAAACAAATAAAAAACACATACACACAAAAAAACAAAAAAGTTGACACACATAGGAAAGTAATTTGATGCAGATACTTGGAAACAAATTTATACCTAATAACACTCATAAGTTTTCTGGGGAAATAGCCCAGAAGTTCAACTGTAAGGTCCACTTTGTTTTCTCATTCTTTATTTTTAGGTGTCTTTCCTGGCTTAGCTATTTAAAATATGAATATCTGAGATTAAAACTTAATCTTGAAATTATTAGAAGTAAGGAAAGTCCTGGAGTTTGCGGCCCAGAAAGAAATGCAGTAGACAATTTCTCCATGTAATTGTTATTTTAGGGATCCCTGTAGTTCTAGTAAAAAGCTCACAGCATCCTCCGGTCCCTAAGTTTTAGTCGTTTTCCTCTTATCTCATGCATTGTTACACCCTTCACAAACTGCATTTTACACCCACCTTGTCCAGAAGCCAACTTCCCAGGTGTCTCTAGCTTAACTGCTCTGCAGTCTAACAGCTAGGATGGTTGAGATCATAGCCACAAGTTGAGGTCTCTCGGGGAGCAATCAAGAGGAGAAAGGATTCTTCTGAAAATTTCTCCCACCAGTGCCTATGGGAAAGCAGCTCATGCCCCAAGTGCCTAATTAAGGAACAACTTCACACATTCCCCTTTGTTTATTTTTTAATCCTCCATATACTTTCTATTTTTGATGTTTACACTTATTGTGGAGAATTGGCACACTTACACAATGTATTTTAAATCCTTTTTATCCTCTTTCACTTCTCTACATCTCAGCTCTGCCCATCTTTGATCGCCTTCCTTTCCTTTCCTTTTCTGTTTTTGTTGTTGTTCTTGTACATGTTTGCAATGCACAATGCTTACATTCCTTGTGTGGAATTGGTGCCTGTACCTGACACACCTCAATTCCCTGTTTCATCCCTTTCCCTCGCCTTCCTCCTCACTCTCTCCGTCTCTTGCTCCCTTTCTACATTGAGAAAGTTATATCTCTCTACTTCCCATTACCTGTGTCTGATTTTGCTTTTTGTTCTTCGAGTCTCTCACACGAGAGAAAGCTGAAATACTCAAGCTTCTGTGTCTGCTTTGTTCCATTTACCATTGTGCATTCATTTTCCTACAAATGACTCCAGTTTCTCTTTCTTCATGGCACACTAGCATTTCATTGTGTGTAAATGCCACGTTTTCTCTAACCATTCAACTGTTGATGGACACACAGGCTATTTCCAAGATTTAGCTGTTAGGAATGGTGTTGCTATAAATGCGGGCAAGTATGTATCGTTACAGGGTGATGTCTCGAGCTCCTTTAGGAAGACACATAGAAGGGGAATAGCGGGATAAATGGAGTTTCTAGCTGTAGTTTCCGGAGGAATCTCCATACTGGTCTCCCCAGGGCTGCACCAGTTTACGCTCCCACCACCTGTGTAGAACTGCTCCCTTCTGCCCCGCACCCCCTCCAGTATTTGTTATCATCTGATTTCCTAATGATGCCCATTCTTGCTGGAGTGAGATGGAATCTCAGTGTTGTTTTAATTTGCATTTTGTTTTATATCCTGCTACTGAATTTTTTCATTAATTCTAAGATTCTTTTGGTAGTTTTTTGGGGTCTTCTATGTAGAGGATCATGTCATCTACAATGTTGAGTGTTTCTTCATGTATTTATTGGCCATTGTACATCTGTCAACTTTCTATTCATCTGATTTGCTCATTTTTTGTTTGCGTCTTTTATTTCTGTATTCTAGATATTAGTCCTCTGAGATATAGCTGGCAATTCTCTCTTCTCTTAAATTCTTTTATGGTACATTTTAGATATACACTACATTTACATTCTTCATTGAGAACTTGCACCTTTACACGATGTATCTTGGCTCTTATTTTTATCCCATTGCCCTGCCCTCCCTTCATCCCCTCCTTCCCTCCCGATTTGCAAAAGCTTTGATTCCATTTATTTCTTATCTCGTATTTTTTCCTTCCTATTTCACATTACCAATTGCTCATTTTAATCCTTATTTACACTTTCAGTTTCTCACACCAGAGGAACTATTTGGTATTTATACATGTGTGTCCTGTTTATTTCACTTAAGATTATGTTGTCAATGTGCATCCTTTAGCTATAAATGTCTCTAATTTCTCATTCTTTATGGGTAAGCAGTATACAATATTTTTTAGCATTCTATAGGGTGTCTCTTCACTCTCGTCACGCTGTTACTTCCTTTGCTGTGCAGAAGCCTTTTAATTTGATGTGAGCCCACTTGGTGATTCTCAGTACTATTTCCTGTATAACAGGTTTGGTTCAGAAAGTTCTTGCCTATGCCTGTGACATGAGAAGTTTTACCTATTTTATATTCCACTGGGTTGTATCTCTGTTTTAACATTTGTTTCTCTGAGGCATTTTGCTTTTGGTTTACTACGTGGTGAAATATGCAGCTCTGGAGTCCATCTTATCCATGTAAATGTTCAGTATTCCCTATATCATTTACAGTACTTCCCGCTCCCCGAAATAAGACCAGGTTGGAAAATAATCTGGTTTATTTATTAGTTTATTATCTCAAGGAACCAACACTTAAAGTCATCAATCCTTTGTATATTATTTTGTCCTCAAATTCATTGAATTCGGCTCTGATTTTATAAATTTCCTTCCTTGTACTAGCATTGTGCTTAGATTCTTGTTCTTTTTCTAGAACCTTGAGTTACATGATTAGAT